CCTGCTTTTCCAATGACTAAATTATCCAATAATCAGAGGGGAAACATAGATGCTGTCCAAGATGGCTCCAACTGTTCTTTGGAACAGCTCCTGCTTTCCATCACACTGGTTCAGTGAAAACAAGGCTAAATGCTCTCAAGTGATAATTACAGCAAGCCCTGTCATGTCAGTATAAATGTGGAGCAAATGATGTTGTGTGTTGCATGTTCTGAATTCAGGCCAGACAATTTTCAGTCCCTATTTTGGACACCCATGCTGTAATTTCCACTCATATGTACACACTAACACCAAACACGCATGTCTTCATAATGTATCACTCAGTTCTGTAAAACATGGTAAGTTCTGGGAAAAGGCCATTTAATGTGCACCACACACTGGGACCTCTCATGCACACACACCCATTCATTCGTACACACACACACATGCATTCTTTGAGTTTCCGCCATCCCCATTACTCCCCCAACTCCCGCAAGGCATTTAGAATTAATCTCCCTAAAAACAGAGGAGTTTTCAGCTCTGACATCACACATGCACACACGGTCATAAATCTAACTTCAAATCTTAAAAAAAACCCTTTTTTGTTTAAAAAAAGCCTCCACCCTTTCTCCTCATTCTTTCCTTCCACATCTTCCACTCTTTTGCGGACAGCCTTATCTTTCCCTGTTATGTTAGAGCAGTTCTTACTCTTAGAAGAAACTTGTAAGCTTTGTTAAATACATTTTGATAAAACCTCTGACCTCAGAGAACAGAGTCACTTCTCCCCACATCCAGCACGTCATCACATTTGATGGTTTGTTGCAGTAAAATCAATTTTCCTGTGTAAACCTTATGAACTGGACTCCATGTGGTAAGCTGTGGAGACTTTATTGGATCTAAGAGGCAGCCAGCATGGGATGCCCTCCCATCCCACCCACATACAAACACACACTTTGCACGCACATGCACAATGTTTTGCGGAATTTTGTACTGGCAGCTTCTAAAAGGTTTAGTGACAAAGTAGGAGTTACCACAAGATATTCCTGTGAATGAACCTTTGGACTGTATTCAGCACATGTGCTTTTATTTAGAGCTCTCTGTACTTTCTTAAAGGGAGAGAGGATGATTCAGACTTTTCTGGACACAGAACATCTTAGGAAGCATCACTGCATTGTTCACATTTAAACCATTTACAGTTAGCCATGTGCTGTTATTTCTTTCTCTAATAGCTCTTGGTTTTTACACCTTATGCAGTGTTGGAACATGATGCAGCTACAGATGTCTGCTCTGCTTCAGAAACACTTTGTTTAATGGTTCATTTAGTTTCCCAGGCTGACAAAACTACTCTGCCCAAGAGTGGCATAAATGTTGTTAAACTTGTGCCAGGCAATTTATGCCAAAATCATTCTGCATGCACCTGATTTAATTCTGGCTGGCAAAAAAAGTAGAGCAAATATCAGGAGCTGATTTGTAGCCCAGGTTTTGAAGCCATATTTAGACAAGGACTGGCTCAGATTTTGTCCTGAATATGAAGTCTGCCAACTGAAACAAGTCAGCCTCTGCTGCCCATCTGAGGTGGCACTAGTCCTGTCCAAGAATGTAACAGCTTGCACCAATGGTGCAATTCACTGTGATCATATTCCTCTCGTGTCTAGTGCTTCAGCAAATGTTTGCACTGTCAGAAAAGGCGCGTGATGCGGCCGAAAAGTGTTAGGTGAACTCAATTAAATGGCCAGACGAGGAAGTGTAAAACAAACCCGTCTCTTTATTAAGAGAACTAACGTTGAACAAAAGAAAACCATACAAGACACGGTGAAAACACAAAACTCACATGTCCTTATTAACAGTCCTAGATCAGAGTCAGCAAACACATCCAACAGAGGTGATCCAAAATACGTAGTCCAGAGGGAAGTCTGATATCATACACTGTGGCAGTCCGAGACAAGAGGGCAAAGCAGAAACGAATATACCAAGGTAACAGTCCGGGTCAGAAACACAAGATACCAAAACCGAAGGAAAGCTGGAGAGTCAGAGCTGGGGTCTAGAACAATCTGACAGCATCCTGGTGGGAGGACGCTGCCTAAATAGAGGTGCAAACAATAACGAAACAGGTGAAACCAATGTGAGTGATGAAGAACGTAAAAAGACCGAAACTAAGGTGAAACAAAAACAGGAAGTAACGTCAAAATAAAAGCCGGACAGGAAGCAGCGGAACCGAATCATGACATGCACACTAAAATGGAACTCAGCAAACATCAGCACTGTTAACATACTAGCATGGTGACATTAGCATTTAGCCATATGTTGCTGTTGCTATGCTCACAGAGCCTCTAGCATGGCTGTGGACTCATAGGTCTTAATTCTTTATCAGCACAGTAACATGTTTGAAAAACTGGTTAAATCCTCACATTAAACTATAAGATTTACTGCCACTATCTGCTTTGTGTCTTCGTGACAACATAAACACACCAAACTTTTATCAGGAATCAGGAGTCTCAGACTTGTGTTGTCTGAATCTATTGCCAGAAGGCAAGGCATTTCCAGTCTCAATGAATCACCAAATACCTCCAGTAAGTAGGCATTCTTGTGATTCATAAGGACTTGATCCTGGCTTCTGACTGTTGCTGCCACTTGTCTAACTGTTTTTGACATTCCTTCAGATATTTTGTTGGTACAGGATTTTCACCTCCACATTTTTTCCTCCCACAAGCATATTAGCGTCTTTTAAAACAGAGAGAGTGTGTGTGTGTGTGTAAGGTGTTGTTTTTACAAAGCTGTTTTGTTTCCTTGTGTTTAGTATGAAAATGTTAGCGACCTGCAGGCTAGCATGATCCTGAATATAGTGTTTTTTTAACTGAAGGGATGACATCAGACAACCATCAACCAGACAGATACAACCTGACATACCTACACAAATATCTATGAATAACGCTAAAACAAACTCTGTTGAGTGCGTATGCACTGGCATAACTGTGGCCATATGCGCCATATGAAGAAATTTGTTGTCCACATCCAGGGCTCGTTACCTAAGAGTCTGAATCTGGATGCCACAGGTCTACTGCTAACAGTGACAGGCCCTCTAATACACCAGGGCTTTTTAAACAGCCATGTCACGAAGCCAACAGGCCAGTGCAAGGGGGTCAGTGTGATACTGGTAGAATAGTGTTTGGTTTCTCACTGACTGTTGCTGCTGGTTTTGGATGCACCTTCCCAGATGCCTTTTAAGCCACATCAGAGCACAGATTTCCAGAACAACACTGCTTTCAACTTTGTCTTTTACAAAGTAGATCAGTGAGCAGCAAGATCACTGAGCCTCCCTCTATGCAGTTTGCACCTGTTGTGTCTCAGTTGTACTTTTAGATAGGCCCTGCTTTTGTCCCCAGTGTACTGCATTCATCTTATCATTGTGCCCCCACAAAGTCAAGCACATTGTAGCCCTCTCGCCTTTCATTCATTTAAGGAGTGAAAACAGCTCGCCTTCGGTCTACATTTTGTTTCATGGGATCTTCTCTAACAAATCAAACCAATTTCTCACGGACACCAATCTAAGTGGATGTTGGAGGCTGTGGGGTATTTGAGGCACTCATGGTAGGACACGATCCTCTCGTGATGAGACCACATCGCAAGATACATTCCAAGGAGAATGTCAGCTCAGTATATCTGCAGCAGCATGTTAGGCTTTTCTGCACACATTTTAATGTTTTTTTTTCAGTTTTACAGTACATGTTTAATCTTAGTGTGTTCATTATCAATAGGAATTTCAGGAGTCTTTCACTTAGGTGCAGTGCATATGTAAACCCTGCAGGAGGTATAATACTGTACATTCATGCCAGGGTGCAACTTAAGGTTTTCCAGTCAGGTTATTCCGATTGCTGTTATAATATCACATGCTAAATCACCGTGCATTAATAGTACCTTCCCCCTCTTTCCTACGTGTGTGCATGTGTTATTGAGGATAACTGTTTGTCATGGTCTTAAATTGATGCCCACTGGCTGTCTGCATGTAGTTTGATGGATTGTGTAAGACCACCCAAGAGGACTGCTGGTGAGCCCACAGGGATGAGAATACATAGTATGGGTGTAATGGTAGTGTGTGTAAAAGAGAGACACACAGAGAGAAAGAAAGATAGTATGAGGTGAGGAGTTTATAGTAAGAAAGTCTTTTTTAAGAGGCTCTGGCTCCAAACAAATCAGAATTGAGAACATGTTTGTAGAATCCACATAATGTGAATTGTTCTACTGTTGTGTCATTTATTTTAGCCCAAGCTGGGAAAGTCAAACTTATGCTTAAAAGTTAACTAATTCTTTAATGAAGAAAGCATTTTTTGGGAGTAGAATCATTTGTTAAAACGTTGACACAAACTGCTGATCGTACTGCATGTACAGTCCCATTTATTTGAGACATTCTGGTCATAACCTTAAAATTTGAGATTGCATTTTCAAATAGCCTGTCAGTGATAAATCTGCAGACTTGTTGACAGTATAGATGTTTTCCAGTGTAGTAAATAATGTTTATCACTTATATGGCAAAAGTGTTTGTGTTTTTAAGCTACTAACATCAAAGTTCTGCTTATCGTATAGAGGGATAAAAAGAATATGTGTTTGGATTTGTGTACTTTTGAGTTGATGGATGTTTGCTGAGCAAGCAAGGAGTTATGGCAGAAAGCACGACTTATCAGTTGAGCTTTTTCTTTATCTTTCACACACACACACACACACACACACACGCACACACACTGTTATGTTAGTAGAAGATATGATTTATCTTCCCCTTCACCCAGAACTACTGAATAAAAGTCCTCTTTACTTATTTGTCTGCTCTTTGTGTGAACATGTGTGTTTGAGCCCACTTGTGTGATGTGATGTGTCGGTGATTACAGATTTTACTCTCACATATATTACAGATCATAAAATACTTATAGTCCAGACATGTTTTTGCTTCATCAGTCATATGTTCTTGTACACAACAGGCTTTAGCTTTGTGTAGCTTCCTGTCTGTGAGTGGTTTTGTGTGTTTCTTGCAGACGTAGATGAATGTGCAACAGGTAGACACGCGTGTGGCCCTGAACAGATGTGCTACAACACCAGAGGCTCCTACACCTGCCAGTGTTCTCCAGGCTACCAGAGGAATGGAGACCACTGTGTGGGTGAGTCACTGCCTTACACAGACACAAAACACACTATCGCTTTATCACCTGATTAAAATCTTTCTACGATTTATCTTACTACTCAGTCTTCACAACTGTCTTGTATGTGTGTTTGTGTTTTCCTGCAGACAGAGACGAGTGTGTCCTGGCCAACTATTGCATGCACAGATGTGTGAACACCCAGGGCTCATACTACTGTGAGTGCAACGCAGGTCACAAGTTGGCCAGCAGCAACCACACTTGTGAAGGTAAGTCACTAAAAAGCCTGAGACTGATTGGGAAGCCTGAACCCTAACCCACACAGTAAATCTCTCACTCAGATGGAAAGAATGTACTGAAAATGTACTGTGATAGAAACATATTTAGAAATCCATCAAAACCCACGCGTGGCACACAGCTCGCTAAAACGTGTGTATGTATGCTGAATGTGTGTCTCTTTTTTCACCTGGAGTGTGGAAACTAAAGTGCAACTGCAGGAAATAAATGTCATAATTTAAGAAGTATCTCACTGCTGAGGTCTCAAAATGACCAAGCAGGATCGGGCTCATGAGGTGACAAAAGGACAAGGTGGTCAACTTAAAGGAGAGAATGAAAAAGGCAAAGAACTAAAATTTTGAATAAAAATAACATATGGTAGAAACTCTGAGGTCAGTAGGTGTATTGCAGTTCCTCTGCAAAGGTTGAAGTGAAGATGTAAATCATGGTTTTTTGTTTTGGTGTCTGTGTTTTACTGTTCGCTTTGACTCAGTTTTTTTTTTTTTTAGCATGTTTCTAGCTGTTAACATGATGAACACATGATGTCATTATTACTGGATTTATGGCTAAAGCTCCAAAAATAAGCTTCAAGTTGTATTAAACCAGAATTGTGTTTATTATATATATTTAAAACAACTGCTTTTGTTCCAGATGTGGATGAGTGTGAAGCGCAGAGTCCCTGTCAGCACCACTGCTACAACCTGATTGGCTCCTTCCTCTGCCAATGTAACCAGGGTTATGAACTGACACAAGACATGGTCTCTTGCCAAGGTGAATGCACAGGCACACACACACAGGATCACATGTATACATATATACATACAAAGATATACAGGAGCAGAACAATGCATGTTGGTAAATGTCCTACTGTACATGCACTGTGTGTGTGTGTATTTTCTGTACAGATATTGATGAGTGCAGCTTCTCCAGCTACATGTGTCAGTACCAGTGTATTAACAACCCAGGAAGTTACACCTGTGAATGTCCAGATGGATATCAGCTCCAGGGAAACAGGATGTGTCAAGGTACTGCAGCCCTCGCTCTTCCTCTCCCTACATAGTTTATTTATTTATTTATTCATCTTACGCTCCTCGCTCTTTTCACATGTGACCAATCTCACAGGCAAGTACTCTTCTATTCCCTATTTTTTGAAAAAAAAAAGAGAACTGTTGATGGAAGTTTGATGATTCCTGCTATCAAAGACTATTTTATGTTTCAAGCGGGATTGAAAGCCACTCTCAGCCAGCACTGTCATGGAAAGACTGCAGAGGTCAGGGGACACAAACATACAAACTCTGTGTTTCCCTGCTGAGCCACCTCTGTGACTTTATATGCTTGATGCCCCTTTTTTTTAAAGTGAATTTATTTGAAGCTCCAAACCACTCTTAAAGGGTGAGCTGTTATTTTTTCCTCTCCCTCTCAGTCAGATGCTGGTTTTATAGGGGTAGCGCTGAATCCGGCCTTTTGTGTCAGAGGGATCGTTTCGTGATGAATACAGGTTGCTGTGCCAGAAATAGCTCTGTGGTTTGCTGTGTATTTGATGGGGCTATTTTCATGGAGGCAAAGAGCTGCAGTTAGGCCTGTGTGGGGTTGCACTGGGGGGCTTTCCGCTTGTGTTTCCTTGCATGTCCAGAGCTGCTGGAAATGTAGCTACATCCCTAAAACACCATTCCCAAATTGTACACATCCTGAACTTTGACTGTGTTTTCACAGCTTAGTTTCATGAAGTGAGTAGAGTTTGTGTGTGTTTTGGAAGTGGGGGATACTAGTACTGGCAAACAGCTATTTTTGACTATTCAGTACTTTTTCTCTCTCTGTCACTCTGCCAATCACCAGACATAAATGAGTGTGAGACAGGGACCCATAACTGCCAAGATGATGAAATGTGTTGGAACTATTACGGAGGCTTCCGCTGCTATCCCAGAAGCCCCTGTGAGGTGCCTTATGTCCAAGCCTCTGAAAAGTGAGTAAACATCTTTCAGTTCTTTTCTTTCACTGTAATAAGCATGACCTGTTTCAAAGAGATTGCCGTAATTGTTGTATGTTTGCAGTCGCTGTATCTGCCGGTCTCAGACTGAGTGCCAGGGTCTCCCACCATCGATTGTCTACAAATACATGAGCATCCAGTCAGACAGGAGTGTGCCAGCAGACGTCTTTCAGATTCAGGCCACCAACATCTATGCCAACACACATAACACCTTCAGGATCAAAGCTGGGAATGAGGCTGGAGAATTTTTCCTGCGGGTAATACTTGATGGGAATAAATTGTTTTCTGGGGGAGGATGTAACAGGTGATAATGGGCTAAGATTAAATACTAACTTGTTATAGTATTGTGTTGCTCAGAATGCTCTCAAAAGCAAAACAGTGCTTACATTTATGCCAGGTACTCCTTATTTCCACAATATTTGGCACTAAGCAAACAAGACTAGAGGTCAACAGCTATTAGGCTGCATGCAAACCCTGCTTTGAGCTAGAGTACATGCTAACATCAGCATGATAACATGCTCAACATGACAACACTAAGATGCTGATGTTTAGCAGGAGAAATGTTTGCCATGTTCACAATCTTAGTTTAACCTGTTGGCATGCATATATTTGTTAATTAGCAGTAAACAGACTGCAGCCAAAGGTGATGGGAATGTCATTAATATTGCAAGTATTTGGTACTGGATAAATACTGAATAAAAAGTAATGGCTATATAGAATTTTGACCTCACGCTGGTTGAAAAGTTATGAGATAAATGTGATTACACTTCATCCTCAGGGGAACATTAATATCTGTGCCGGGCTCAGTGGTAATCTATCCAATAGTTGTTGAGACATTTCACACATCGAAGGTTCACCAAAGTCAGTAGGATTCATCCTCTGGGGACCACGAATGCCAGGCTGTTCAACAGAACAACGTTGCCATCCACTGAGTTGTAGTGCTATCATGGCTACAAACAATAAATTAGATTACAATAAAAGAAAAAACACATTAAATTTAATTTGTGTACCATATTGCACCAATGTTAAATTGTATTTAAAAATACTGTATAGTAAATCTGTATTCACATGCTGAAATCTTGACTGATCATGTCTTTTGCAGCGTTCCAGCAATGCGAATGCCATGCTGGTGCTAACCAAGCCGCTGTCAGGCCCCAGGGAGTACATTCTGGACCTGGAGATGATCACTCACCATCTGACCATGAACTATCGCTCCAGCTCACTGCTGCGGCTTACCATCATAGTTGGCCCATACCCATTTTGAGCACCACAGTTCCCAGCAGCCCACATAAGTCTGGTTCAGAAGCAATAGTAGTGTAGCAGCATAACAAACTGTACATTTTCATACATGCATACAATATATAAGATACTGTAGGCTGTCCCAGGCTCTTTCGGTAGTGCAGCTGTCCTAATAGGCTTGCTCAAGACAGACCTACACATGCTGTAATGTGACCACTAGGCATCTTTTTCTATCAAGGTGTTGGGAAGTATTGTGATGAAAGGATCTGGTGTCCTGAAGAACTAAGCATTGTGTTTCAAAAATAGTACTTAAAATTAAACAAATTTTAATATTTAAAATTCAAACATTTTCAAGCTACTCTACCTAATTTCTTTTCAGCAGCTAGAGGGTCTAGTGAGACTCAAAACAAGCTGGCACCATAAGCTCTTTATCCCTCCCATTACATCCTGTTTCTTAGAGATGAAGACACCTGATCGTGACAAACTGCAAAATGCAGCCTCCGGTCCGAAGCTAGCATTAGCGGACTAACAAGTAAATTTGGCAATCCAGTGAAACACTGGCTACTGCTAACGTGACACAAGGCACTAATGTTTCATAAATCTTGAATTACTCTTTAATTTAAATTATATTCATTCAGTACAAAGGTAAAGTCATGAGACTGTGCCCCATTCTCTCTGTGCAAAAGAACACGACTCTCTCTCAGACATTTATTTGATAAGCACTCCTCCACAGCTGGTTGTTTGACATCACTACTAATAGTTCAAAAATGCTTCATAAAACCTTCTCTAGGTGGCAGGTGGTGCTAATTTACATACTGTATCTTGAAAGCACAGGGTAGAGAAGCTGGAATAACAACAGAAGTGCTGTAGGTGTGTGCCATGGAGGGGGTCAGTATAGCTGAGAGACACCAAGTCCCATTTTCACTTGATTTATCAGACATTATGTAAAATCTTAATGCACCTTATCTAAAGTGGACATTAGAAAGGTGCTAGGTGTAGCATTTTCACTTGCTACTCCCAAACTAAAAACAACTGGGAACAAAGCAGTGACACTCAGGAAAAGAAGCCTAGTGGACATACATCCTAACCATGATGACTTTTTGATGCAGCTGCATCTACATTTATCACTTTGTTCAGACTGGGACTGCTTACAATAACCTGTGTGCACATCAGTTGTAAGAAAGACAGAAAAATCATATTTTCTATATAAATGTATATGACAAATATCCAGCTTGAGCATTTTTGAAAATAATTTACATATGGTGTAAATCACAACTTATGTTGATAAATGTTTTAGGGGTTAGTATTGTTGTGCCATGCTATTTGTGCAAGATTCTGAATAGGTTTTCTCATGAGCACTAACAGTTCAGAAGGGTAAAGGCAGGGAACTTGCCTGGGAGTTGAGAAAGTACTAAACTTTGTATGATAAAAGGTTTCATGCTTGCAGACTTTACTCACAGGAGTTAAGTCATGTACATAGGTAACAAATCTGTGTGTGTGTGTGTGTGTCTGTATCTGTGCCTGGCTTTGTTTATGCATGCAAGCTAAAGTGTGAAACACAAAAGGAGAGAAAGGGAGAGAGTGGTCTTATTTTCTGCCCCAGGTTCGCAGGATGTGATAGAGCTGTTGATGTCTAATACCATAACAGAGATGACAGTTTTCATACACACACTGGCCAGCTGACTGCTCATTGGTGCCACAGTGATTCTCTAGAGGAACAGCCGGGCTTTTTAATGCCAGCCCCAGCGAAGAAGTCACACTGGCACCAGGCTAGCTTGCGTGATAAAGATAATTACAGTGCTTTGCCCTGTAGCCGGGATTCATGTGTGACAGAGGGGGATTATAAAGTGTTGATACAGCACCACCACATTTTTGGCAGAATAAGAGATCTTTCACTACCTGCTTTGCCTTCTGTGACTCCACGCTTCTGCTCTGGCTTATTGCTGAAACACTGTACACTGTAGACACACTGTACTAAAAACCATAATGAACACAATGAAGTGTACAAGTCATCCAACATATATCATTTATGTGGTTTCAGCTGTGATTATGCCATAGTGCCTTAGAGGTGTAAACAACAACAACAGAAAAGGTAGCACTAATCTAATCATACATGCTGTCAAGCCTCTTAAATTCCTTCAATGCAATGCCTTAATGTTTTTCTCTTCTATTTAAAATATATTTTTGTCATATGTATCTTATATTGATTGTACTCTGAAGAGAAAAGGTTATATTGTTGAATAAAATATGATGAATAATTGAAAACGGATCATAAGAAGTGCATGTACTGTACCAAAGTCAACCAGATTTGACTTCACCGTGTGAAATGCTCCGCTGCTCTTGCCATGCTTTTGGGAAAACATGAGCATGATTTCATCTGAATATAACAGTGATAAATGCAGTGGATGCCCTAGCCGTCATATCTATCTTATATAAAGAGATCCACAGGGGATATAGTAATATAGAATATTGAGTCAATGTGTGCTGAGGGTCAAATGTGAAACATGCAGACACACACAATGTATTTATAAATTGGTTGGGAGTGGTTTTATGGTAAGTTGTTACTCAATCAGTGCTGGGACGTGCAAGATGATACATGGTGTGTCATTGCTCCCCGAACCCCACGTTCAGCTCCTAACATATTGGAGTTGTGTTTTTCTGTCCATGCATGATTCAACCCCCAGGAGAAAACATGGCTCACCCACTTTTTCTGACTCAACCATGCACTGATCCGCCTAAGATTTCCAAGTTTTTAATTAATATTGATAAAATATTAATAGTCAGGATAACAGTGAAGGTAATGCACTGAAGCTCCCTGTGTATACTGTAGCTAGACATTTCATTATCACTGTTAGATTCATTAAATAGATCAAAGCCCAAGTCAGAAAACAAAACAAGCTAGGAAAGTTCAATAAGTTGGATGTCTATTACCTTATGTAATCATCTCATAATATCCCAGTGATGCAATAACATTCCTTTATTTTGTTGTATTTTTTATATTTGGGTCATGACTGGGGTCAGATTTTTGAGTACAGTTTCCCCTAAAAGTAATGTTTCTCATCTGAGTGTCAAATTTGTTCAGAAATAACTGGCTCAACATCATCAGACAGTGACAATGACCTTTGAATGCCCCACACAAGACATTCACAGTACAGTATATACATTTTTACTGGACAAAATCTAAAGGCCAGTTTCTTTAGCTTGTACACCAGCATTACCTACAAACAGGGTCAGATTAAGCAGTTAAGAGGCCCCAGGGCAATAAAAACTTATAAGGGCCCCCTACAAACACACCAGTGACCTTTTCTACTCTTTGTTCAGTTCTCTGAGTTTGTGGTTATGTGCAGTAATTTGACTAAAGAGAATTTCATTTAATAATGTTCAGTGTTTCTCCCTAATATGCACTGTGTATATCCTTGAAGCCTAACTAACATGACTGCATTTCCTTTCTCATAAAACATTTGCAAAGCATGTTTATGTTTATATTTAGGTTTGCCAGCTCACAGTCTTTGTCTTACTTGCCTTTGTTGGCGCAGGAGTGTTACTGCCATGAACTGCTGATCAGTGAAACGGTGTGAAATGGTTAAATCCCCTCATCTTTGAAATGCAACACCCCTAGCTTATAACTTCAGTTTTCTTATTTGTACAAAATTTCTACAAACCAACTGCTACACAGTGAACCTGCAGTGGCCTGGGCCCCTGAAGCTTTTTGGCGGAGCATTTTGCCCAGCTGATATTCCAGTGTTGATACCAAGAAAATAAAATCTTTTACCTTTTATTTTGTTTTTTATTTGCCATTCTCACCAAAAAAAAAACACCAAATAGAAACAAAAATTTACACAAGGTCACAAAAATGTTGTTGAAACTCAAGTGATTAATCACGTCTCACCCAAAGTCACTCTCTTCCTAGTGTACAGTTACTTTGAATTTCTCCAGGGCTGTCTTGCTGTTTTTAGAGTGGGTGTCAGGGAAAGAAGTAAGAGGTGTTTTAAGTTAGAGAGCATGCATAAAGACTTGAGAAATGAGTAGAAGGCATTGGAAGACATAAAGAGATGAGCTCACTTGTTAACTTTGGCAAAAAGTACCACACGAGGGTGGCATAAATACACAAGGGCATTCACAAGGACACAACCACACAGGTATGCTACTCAGTAAATCAGTGAGCTAACAAGAACGTGCATATGGCGAACAAGTTAGCAGAACCATCCATCCATGTGTGCATATTTGTATATGTAAACTGTGAACTCTGCTGGCATGATTTGTAGTCTGGTGGCACTGCATGTGGCAGCTGAACATGTGCCAGGTTGTAAACACTCTCTGCCTGGTGCCACAGGTACCACAGACGTAATAGAACAGATGTTGTTTTTAGTCGGGTGGAAAAATAAACCTTGGAGGTCCACACCTGTGCGATTACATTCTCTAATTATAGTTTGGAACAGTCACTCTGAGATGGCTAAATGAGATGGGCCTTCAGGGTGTTGTGAATGTAATTATATCCTGAGAATTAATAGGTCTGTACCTCACAGAAGAATTTGTTATGTGATGCTGTACCTGAGCTTTTCTAGCTCATCGGGAAGCCTTTGAATTATGACATAAGTATAAAGAAAAACATGATATACAAGAGTTATAATTATCCCCAAGTACATTAGCTGTAAAAAGTACTGCCTTTTGTTATACATATCAGGGGAAAAGTTTATATTTCTCCTTAAAGGGTCTGATACACAGTGTGGTGTTTATTATTAGCTACTGGGCCAACAGAAGAAATATGTTGGAACTGGATTGCATCATGTTAGGCCACAGCTTGTTCTCTGGAAGTCTTGTTTTATTTAGAGGACGCTTGATCTCTTGCCATAATACCAAGTATGCACACACACTAGCAAAACATTGCATTGTCTAAGGCACTGGTTCACAAACTTCTCTCAATCATGTACCCCTTTAAATATTTTTTGGGTTAAGTACCGCCCCAACCAGTGCAAAGCATTTTTGGTAGGGGAAAAAGAGCCTATATAAAGATGTACAACACTGTGCTGCATCATTCTTTTCCTAACATACAAAGCCCTTAATGACAAGGCTCCGTCGTATCTTACAGACCTCGTAGAGCCTTATCATCCTAACAGAGCACTTCACTCTCACAGTGCAGGTTTACTTGTGGTTCCTAGAGTCCACAGAAGTAGAATGGGAGGCAGAGCCTTTAGCTATCAAGCTCCTCTCCTATGGAACCAACTCCCAGTCTCAGTTTGGGAGGCGGACACCCTCTCTACCTTTAAGATTAGACTTAAGACTTTCCTTTTTGATAAAGCTTATAGTTAGGGCTGGATCAGGTGACCCTGAGCCTTCCCTTAGTTATGCTGCTATAGGCCTAGGCTGCTGGGGGGCCCCATGATGCTCTGAGTTTCTTTCC